TGGGAGGTGGTCATTAGAGTCCGATCGCCCCTTGTTACCCCCTGTTTACCAAACAATGCAGGACGCATCATGAGGCTGAAATTCGGTCCAAAAAATGCTTGCACAACTGGAGAATTGAGCCAAAAAGGGGGAAAAAAACATGTACAGTGTATGCCCTGCCTAAGTTATATCTCCTGTTCATCACACCTGGGTCAAATGGTAAGTTATTAGTAGGCATCTGCAGAACTTTGACATGCTGAGCAGGTAGTACCTACCCCAGGGAGAATCACAAAAACATGCAACATAGCAGCCTTTAAAGACTGAATCTGGACACCACTCTTTTAGATGATTTAATGATGTTCCACAAATGTGAAAAACTCAGGGCAGATATTATTTGCAGTTTACAGATTTTATTAATAGTTACTGCTATTTGGCCAAGTTGTTGTCAAAGAGTCGTAGTCTCTTTTTGGAAATAGATACAACCTTAAACCTCTATTCCATAGTGTAAGTTGGAGGAGAATTAAGACTCTCTAGTTTTCCTTTTGGTGTGTTTTTAAAATAAAACATACTAATCAAAATAAATGTCATTTTTTGTGGCATTTCTATGCTGAAGTTCTTTCCAGGTGGTGTGGCATCTATAGCAGGTAGTTCTACGCATCAATACATCAGGTGGTTTCTGAAAGTTACAGGTTCATTAAAATTACTCTGAAAATTACAAACAAATGCACTGATATAAGAAAATTCAATTTTATGTTGTGAATGCTTAATTATTTTTGAAACGCATTTATTTAGAATGCTTAAGTGTAGGATCAACATTTTCCATTTTTCCTTCTTATATCTTCACTCTATGAAATAAAGGAGAGGAGACTGTTTTCACGCATTATGACGGCTTGTCTGCAACATCTCTGGTAAAACTGCCGTATAGCTCTGGCATTGCTCCTTTATTTTCAAATTTTTGTCAAAACAAGAGAACTTCCTGGCAACGCTACGGAAGCCTAAACAATCGGAAAAGTGCGTCTAAATCGAATCTTCCTTATAAACAAACAAAATCCAAAAATATGTCCTACGTTTGAACATTGAATTTTACTATTATGTTCTATAAATGAGGCTTGCATTAAGTAATACTTTAACTTGAGTAGATTTTTGACTGAGCAACTTTTGCGTGTAGTTGAGTAAGATTTGACCATTAGTATCAATACTTGTACTGGTTGATTTGCAAATAAATTTTCCCAGTTGGGTTATAACCGGTTTTCTCTTTTTGTAATTTCCTCTTTGTTTCTGTCTTGTGAAACACCTTGAAATGTCTGCATGCTTGACTGGTATCATTAAGAATGCTGAGTTATTTATGTCAAAGATGTGCAAACGATGGACAGGGATCATACTCACCACTCCATGATATGATGGTGGTATAAAACCGCAGTAAACAGGAAAGAAGCAGCTGCAGATTAGAACCTGTACAGGAGACAAACAGCGTTTGAGGGTATGTTGATGTTCTGCATCCACGTTTTGTCCACCAGCTGCAGCACAGAGTAGAAGACAGCCCTGCAGCAGATAGTGAGAGGAACTGACAACAAAGGGAACTGTCATTTGGGTCTCCCAACCTTCTCTCAGGAACTGTTTTGAATTACTGGATCAATAACATCCGATTCTACAAACTTTATGCCTCAGTGATTTAAACTTTAGATGTTGAATATTATATTAACATCTATTATTGTAATACTTGGTGTGTTTTTTTTATTTTTTATGTCAGTTAATGTGTTGCAGCGAAAACTCCTAATGCACTAAGGCCCAGTTTCACCACATGTGATTGAACTGTCGGTCAGTTCTACCTGAATGAGCTCCTCTCTGGTGTCAAACTTTGACACCAACACATTTCCTCCATCCGCCAGTCTGGTGAGCGACACACAGAGCTTGCCTGTGGCTCGGAGATGGGCGTCCTCCGGAAGCATTTCGAGCAGAGAGCGTCGCACCATCTCCAGCATCCGGAAGGTTGGGTGAAAAACTCCCAGTGTGTGTTTTCTAGCCTCCCTTGCGAGGTTCAAAATACTGAAACAGAGCTGATCTAAAGAGGGAAACATAAACAAACGTATTTAAGATTCTCATGGATGTAAAACAACTGCTTTCACTTTAAACTTATAGTCATCATTGGGAAAAATTTGTTTTGATTGTATTTGTTAAAGAAACGACTTTATGTTCCTCTTTTAATGTTTTGCTCTCGTTCACTCCTGTTATCTTTGAATATGACGTAAACTATGGAATTTGCCCTCACATTGCATGGGTGGAGAGGCTGTCGGTGAACTTGCAGAGTACAATATCAATAACAACACTTAGTGTAAGATAACACTTTCCTAACTAGTGTTAAAGATATGCTCTCTTTGTATACACCTTGAAGCTCTACCTCTCCGGTTCTTTCCCCAAAAAGAGATCACTCAGGACAAACTCTTAAAATAACATTTTATAACTTATATGTATTAAATAACCAGGAGACATGACAACAGATTCTGATAGAAGTTGCAATCTTACTCAGATCAGAGAAATTGCTTAGAGTTACAGAAGGCAGCTCCTCACCTCTGGGCTCACCTCTCAGGAAGTGGCCCCGATTAACAGTTAAAAAGGCATTTTATACATCTCCAGTCTGGACATCAACATATTTTACATCATACATGTTAGCAGATGATTAAACATCCATGGCTCCAGCCTTAATCAAATAAACTATTGTGGAAAACATCAGTTCTGACGCGCAACAGGCAGCTAATACCAAGGTGTAACAAACTCACACATTGTCAATGATAATTATCCTAACCCTAGAAAAACAGAATCTCAAAGATTTGTTTACATGGAAAGAAACAATCTGTATGACTACTGCATCA